AAACCCAGTGAGAAATTATTTGCGAGATCAAACCTTAAATCAGGGCTGAATTCTGAAGACATCCTGTATTTTTGAACATCACTGTTGTGAATGCGGGTTTGTGTTGCACTGCAGGACATTGCAAAATGGGACAGCAGAAAAATTACTTAAGAAGTTTTACAGTGGGTGGTGAGGCCCTGGCATAGGGTGCCCAGAGAAGCTGTGGCTGCCCCTGGATCCCTGGAAGTGTCCAAGGCCAGGTTGGACAGGACTTGGAACACCCTGGGACAGTGGAAGGTGTCCCTGCCCATAGSAGGGGGGTGGCACTGGATGATCTTTAAGATCCCTTCCAACCCAAAGCATTCCATGATTTACACCATTCCAAGACATGATCCCAAGAGATATTTTAAAGAAAATTTGCATCATGTTCTGTCTGCCAGCCCAGAAGCCTCAAGGTTGCCTTTTTTCAGCCACAAATAGCATCTCCACACYGGGACTGCTCTGCCAGCTGTAGTTTGTCTTCCTTTCTGAGCACACTCTGTGAAAAAATTCCAAATAGCAAGGATCAGGAGAGTTCCCTAGGAAAAAAGCTGTTTTACTACAGACATGAGAGCAGTGCCAGCTTAAAGCCATGGATTCACTGTACCAATTTTGGAAAGATCTGGGATCTCTGTTGAAGAGAACACTCACATCACCAGATCACAGGACTGGCTCAGAGCTCACCCACCCTCAGCTGCTCAAGCTCTCCTGCACCGTTATTTATTGCTCCCCATCAGTCATAGCTTTTCTGGAATTACTCATGGCTGACATTTCTGATGCAATAAAGCCACAGATAACCTGTGAAATAAAATCAGGGTTTTCCTGTTGGGACATGTACTGTCCCCTCTGTCTATCTGTCTCCATTTAAGCTGCACATGCTGGCACTGGCACGGATAATGGGGCTGGGATTACAAGTCAGACTRAATATTCTAGTGCATTTTTCTGTGGAAGGAAAAGAGGAATATTTTCACACCTGAGTCATGCAAGACCCAATTGGACCATCACATATACACAGAACCTGCCCTCCTGCCAGGCCTTTCTCCCTGGGCTTTCAGATCAGTGAATTGTCTAGTGAATCACTATCACTCTCAAGAGCTCTCTGAAAGGAGGTTGGAGCCAGGGGAGGGTCTCTTCTTCCAGGTGGCAAGCAAGAAAATAACTGAAAATAGCCTCAATTTGCACCAGAGGAGGTTTATGTTGGATATTAGGAAAAAATCCTTCACTGAAAGAGTGGTCAAGCATTAGGACAGGCTGCCCAGTGCAATGATGGAGTCACCATCCCTGGAAACGCTCAAAAGACGTGTGAATGAATGAACATTTGGGGACATGGCTTAGAGGAGAACACAGTGGTGCCAGGTTTATGGCTGGACTCAATAATCTYAGAGTTATTTCCCAACCTTAATTATTTGATTGGTCTATAACACAACAACAACAAAAAGATCTTTAATCAGCATAGACTGGATGTTCATTTGTAGCCCAAGACAGTGAAGCTGAAAGGGAGCCTTGAAAACCTTGTTGTGGTCAGATATTTAGTCAGTAAGTTGTATTTCACACTGCCAAGCCTTAAAAAAAATTACTTGTCTGTTATGATTTGAAGTGCTTTTATACATGGTTTTAATTTAACTCCTTTGTAAGGGTCACTTCAAGCACGGCTCATTAATTTGTCAAGAGAAGACAGAGGTGATTGCTGTGACTGCCATAGTCTTGCACAGCTGGAGAGTCAGGGATGTCTATCACAGAGTTTATCTTCCTGTGAATGTCTGTGTATAATTTATACTGTGGGGTATTTACAGATAGAAATCCCCGTTTTGTAAAATTTTCCTATTATCAATATAAATAAGAAAGCGAAAGAAGAAGAGAGCACAATGGTGAATGCATTGTGTGTGTTTGTGCAGCTGCCTTTATAGAAAATCAGGAATATAATTCTGGACAGTCATCCAGAAGCCATTTAGTCCCTTTCCCCTCACTACAGAGGGGTGCTTTACTTCTTCTTGATGGATCTTTAACCTGCTAAAAACTGAATGTTTTTTTGTTAAGRGTTATGTTTGAGGTAGCGTATGAAAAATGGTGCTTGTGCAGGAAATTTCAGGCTCACAGCGAGGAATAAAAGGGAAGCAAATTATCAGAGAATGTCTCATCCCAACAGTAATTCCCATGCAGAGCACTAAATGAGATATTACTKCTAATTCTCTGTGTCACATGGCACTTACACAGGCAGGCAGGGCTGGAGTTCAAACTAGATGAATTCTGACACCTTCTAACCACAAAGTGCTTGGATTTGGTAACCTTTGTGCAGGTTTCAGGCAGGCTGTTGCTCGGCATT